CGTTGACCAGTTAAATAACCATTATGTCAGCAGTCAGTCATTATTAGCGTTTTGCTCTTTTACCACTGGCCACATTTCCATTACTGACATCACAGCTGACCACAATTATGTTGGTCAAATCCTTGGCAATTTTTCATATTTCCACACCGACACACAGCGCCACCCAGCGACACCCAGCGACACAATCACCCATCAGCCATTGGCGAATGGCCCCCGAATTTCCACTCAACAGTTTGTCAACAGTGTGTACACAAGCAGTCAGTACTCCCACTTGCTCCTGATGGCCCTAATGGGGAGCTTTTATTAATTTCAATTTGTGTCAACATCAACGCCAAAAATGCAGGCTCCCGGCGTCCCGTGGAAGTGGCATGATTTAAGCCAGCTGATGACAAAATGTTTGGCCATTAGGCGAATTAAAGCGCAGTGTTTTTCCCCAAGCTCCCTCATGTGGCAGCATCATTCATGTGCCAGCCTGGCCACCCCCATCCCCCATCCCAGTGCCGTGTTCGGGTTGACTTCAGTGGCTTTGGTGGGGCGAACAGTTCATAAACGGTTGGTTCGGACCATTGTTGCCCCAAAAAACAAGCAACACCAAACAACTATAAAAACCATGATTGATGTGCTCGGCTTGACCCAAATGCATGTTTTTATACCAAAATAATACGCACTCATCTCCTGTCGCCCATAAGCACTAGTATCCCTTATCTTCTATACGATATACATACATATATATGTGTGTGTTTATATATATTTATATAGATGATGCTTCTCCCTACGTGGGGACAGTATGCTTGGAGCTTCTTGGGGTTCGTTGAACTTTCGGTTAAAGTTTCAGCTAATGCTTATTATCTGACCATTTGCTGGCTCAGCACGCGGCGTATACGTAATATGAAATTTAATGTTACTTTATGCAACTTCTGCGAAGAGTGCGACCGATGTGAGAGCCAGAGCACTCAAGCACATTGTAATCGCTATTAATGAATGTGCCCTTAAAAGTGCCAAAGAAACGAAAGCAGACCAACAAGCAAACAAAATACGTTCAACACGGATCCTTGCAGTCGAAGCTACATATATACATACATACAAGCTAAAGCTTCTCGGGAAACGCACAATGGCAGCCGCGTGCCATGTGCCGAGTGCCGAGTGCCATGTGCCCCTGCGTCCTTAAGTCCAATGCTTTTTAAATATGAGCAACAAAAATAAAAGTTGATTAAGCTTATGGCTGCGTATGCCAGACGTTTTAGTACCCTATAAAATGGAACAAACCGTGTTCGATGGAATATTTGCGGGTGTGGCTAGCCTTTGTTCTGAGAAAATTCTAGCCACACTTAGGTTAAAGTCTCAACAAACAGTCTGAATTACAGTAAGGCCATGGCTGGGTCTTTGTACATTTGTATATATTTTTTTGTGTCCAGCCTTTTCGGGATATGATTCCTATCTGGAAAAATGATACAAATAAAGTTTTTGCGGTAGGGTCGCAGTTTGCCATGAAGATAGAATATTAAAGATATACAGACATATAATATGTACAGGATACTAATCGCAAATAATTGCCAGAGTATCATTCTGTCCGCAACTCACAATCGAGAGCTCGAGCAATGATTCTTCTCTGTTTGTGCCCTGCGCTGGCCGCACTGCCGCGAACGCCAACTTCGCTACAAGGGCTGATTTATAAGCGCAGCTGCCTGTGGCTGCCACGGCTGCAGCTGCAACAAAAACAGAATGGAAAGCTCCTTTTCTTGCAAAATGAAATTAATTTCCCATTGCCTTTGTTTGTGGCCACCCATTTGTCTTTGTTGCTGCACTTTACGATCCGCAGGCAGCGGTTGAAATTTGTCAGCACGGGCGATTTAGTGAGCTTAAAGGCGAAACCCAAAAGCCGCGGAAAGTGCACTTAAAGTCACATAAAAGCGGGAAACAAGATGTGCAGGAATGGCACAATGTTGGAGCACCATCAGGAGGAGACTACCATCATTTGGAATCGCATCGTGGCAGTCAAGGGCCAAGTGGCTGCTATTGTTATGGCTGTCCCACTTAATAATCAGACATAATAGTTTGCGGCGGCAGCTAAAGTTTCTAATGCTGCAACAGGTGGTGCGTCTATTGTGCAACCTGGCACTGTGGTTAAATTCTTTTTTAATGAGGATTTACGGTTGCCCTGGCTGCTGGTATTCTCTCTGTCCGTCTCTCGTACTATACTGCTTCTCTGTGTTTGTTTTTCTACCTTCTATCTGTTCGCTAAGCGTTTGCCTTGCGGCTTATTGCTTGAACTCTTTTTGGCTCGAAATTAAATTTCGCACTTTTAATGTTGTTCTCGCAGCAAAAAAGCAATTTCCTCGAGGTGCAAAGCCAAATTGAAAAAGGCATAATGACTTGGCAAAAAAAGGGCAACCACACACACACACACACACACACACACAAAGCCCACTCTCGCACGCACACACACAAGAGCAAAAAAAAAAAGATGCGGCAACCAGAAATGGTCGATCATTAAAAAAGGCTTACAATGTGCCATTTATTACATTTTTATATCGCCCACAGCATGGCACATAATAAAAATCTAAAACAGACCAAAAAGAAATCACAAAAAAGTTTCTGTATTCTTCACTCTCAAATAATAAACATATATGTGTGTATGTATGTACGTATGTTTACTTGTCAATGTTTTGTTAAAAATATTTCGTCCTATTTTTGCTACTTGATTTGCTAAATAAATTACATTTCAGATACCTCTCCTATGTGTGCAATCAATTTCCTGCGGTAATTCACTTTACTTTGAATACTTTATGTAATTGGTTGTAGAATGCTTTTATTTCACAATGAACATATAACAAAATGATGGAAAAATTATGGAAAAATTCATCCCAATGTTGAATTAAATACTAAATACATAGTAAGAAATCTATATATTTAAATACATATATTTCCATCCTTTTTAAATTCGACCCTACTTAAATTCAAGCGGGAATTGTGCTTAAAACTCATACTCATGTTTGGTATCCCCAAAATTTTCTTTACCCATTTATTGAACACCGTTTAACGTGTATTAATTCGGAATAAGATACATTTTTGGTATTCATTATATCTCTAAATATTTCAACAACAAAAGAGGACACCAAAACGTATCTTTGGAATGGTGGCAATCCACTCAAGAGATTTTCGATGTTACTTTTACCCCACTTCAAACAATGTTAAACCATTTAAAGGCATTTCTTAAACGTACAAAGGTGATACATTTTAAACACATTTAACAATTCTGAGAAATTCACAAAATATATATAAACTGAAAAAAGAAATATACACGTGCACCTCTTCCCAAAAACCTACCCAGCCCCATTCAGTGGGAAATATTTGTGAATCTGTAAGCGCAAATATTTTGCCAACACTTTCCGCAAAAAGTAAAAGCACAAAACGTGCGAAAAATTTTACCCTAAAGATGGCTGCTAATAAAAATAGGAGCTGAGCCAACATCAAATGGGAAAAACTTTTGAAACGCGTGAAAAGTTTGCACTGCTTTGAGTTAGGTTCAGGCGGGAATATCCTAAGCGAATATACTCAAAAGTCATGGTAGGAAATTGCAGTCGAGTTGTCGAGAACACCAACACTTCAAGACACAAAGCCGAAAAAGGATTTAAGAAAACTGCAAACTCATTTGGCGGAGGAACAAAATCAGGGCTCGACTCCAATCTGCAAGAAAAAGTGTTGAAATTTGCTTTCAACAAATGATTTGGGGCAGAAACAGCAGCCACATTTAATAATAAACGCGACACCCGCGAATAATGAAAAACGGAGCAGACAGGATGTGCAGAAAATGAGTAAAAATAGCTGGGCCCTGGTCGTGGTTTGTTCATTTGTTGATTTATGCTCCAATTTGCGCAACATGATGGACTGGCAGACAACAGAATGGTCCAAAGCGCACAACGCCAAAAAGTCGCCGGAACCTCTCTCTCTCTCTCTTTACTCGTATATATATCTCGCACTTAGGCCCGAAAAAAAGAAAGCAAAGTGAATACTGCGAACATAAGCAATGAGTATGAGCCACACGAAAATATATGTAGCATAAGCTCGGGCGTCTTCTCTGTCTGGGCGCACCAAGGACGTCGGCTGTCAAGTTTTTTTCGGGACAAGTTTGCTTGGCGTCTGACTGCTCAGACCTCGAGGCCATAATTCAAACTTACCTTCGATATATGTGAGTCTTGAGAGATGTAAGAGCCCTAAGAGTAAATTTAATATTGAGAAAAACATTCATATATCTGAAAATTCTTAAATATCGTAGCAAAGTCAGTAAAAGACAGAACAAATTATGTGAAATATTTACATTAAAATATACATCCAATGTTCAGCAATTATATATTATTGATATGACATGAACAAATAGCATCTGGCATTTAAAATTTATACATTTAGCGACCAAATAATATGATAAAATAATCATAATAAAATAATCAAATATTCAATTTAAGTAACACTCATGTAATTGAATTTTGATATTATTTTTTTCTGCGCAATATTTTAGATTTCCTAGAAACGCTTATACTATTTCTACATATATTTCTTTCCTCACTGATTTGCCACTGACAGTTCTCGGCACTTGGCAGCAATTTCCTCACCCAAAAAAAAAAGAAAAGAATAAAAAAAAAACCTTTGCTGTCTGCCATTTCATCATTAGTATTTGTGTGGGTGTGTTCGATGGAGTATCTGTGTGTGGGCTGGCTCTTGTGTTGTCCTAGTCTTGTTAGTACCGAGCTGGAAACGGCAAACTTCCGCTGGCACATCCTGCCCCAGGGCCCACTCCTGTCCCCAGCCAGGTCGCTGGCTCTATCATTTTTATGGCTATTTAAAGAGCCATAAACAACGAAGTGAGTGCGCGTGTGTATGGGCGGGTATTAAATTGAGTTTTATGCGTGATTTCCGTTCTTAACACTTTGTTCACACAATGTTGACAATGAAAATGTTATAAGCGTTTAATGAAATGTGACAAAAATTTTGCTTCTTTTAAGACGGAACAATTTGCGGTGCTGTGGATACTCTTCACCGTCATTGTACTCGGCAATTCCGCGGTGCTCTTTGTGATGTTCATCAACAAGAATCGCAAGTCGCGGATGAATTACTTCATCAAGCAATTGGCCCTAGCAGGTGAGATACGAACACAAAAGGTTAATCTGCCATTTTTCCCCTATTTTAAGCTTTCACCTGACTTTAATTTAGATCTGTGCGTGGGTCTGCTCAATGTGCTGACAGACATTATATGGCGCATCACGATTTCGTGGCGAGCGGGCAATCTGGCCTGCAAGGTTATACGGTTCTCGCAGGTGTGCGTCACTTACTCCTCAACCTACGTGCTGGTGGCCATGAGCATTGACAGATACGATGCAATAACGCATCCCATGAACTTCTCCAAGTCGTGTAAGTCGTTCTGCCAAAACTTTTCTAATTGCCAAACGATTTTGTTCAGCGCAAAATGTTTTCACAGAAATATATTTGTAAGTTATATGTATACATAATTTATATTCCTTAGGGAAGAGAGCACGTCATTTGGTGACTGGCGCGTGGCTCATCTCGGCTATCTTCTCGCTGCCCATTCTTGTGCTGTATGAGGAGAAGCTCATCCAGGGGCATCCGCAGTGCTGGATAGAGCTGGGCTCGCCCATGGCCTGGCAGGTGTACATGAGCCTGGTCTCCGCCACGCTCTTCGCTTTTCCAGCTCTTATCATCTCCGCCTGCTATGCGATTATAGTCAAGACAATTTGGGCCAAGGGCTCTATATTTGTTCCCACAGGTACACATCATACCAAAAGTATTAGAGCAATTTATTAAGATGTTTGTTGTAGAGCGAGCGGGTTTTGGTGCAGCACCTGCAAGACGAGCCAGCTCCAGGGGCATCATTCCACGGGCCAAGGTCAAGACGGTGAAGATGACACTGACCATTGTGTTTGTGTTTATCATCTGCTGGTCGCCGTACATCATCTTCGATTTGCTGCAGGTCTTTGGCCAGATACCACACTCGCAGACAAACATTGCCATTGCCACCTTCATCCAGAGTCTGGCTCCCTTGAATTCGGCGGCAAATCCACTGATCTACTGTCTGTTCTCATCGCAGGTCTTTCGCACACTTAGGTAAGTTATGCTAAATATATATAAAACTAGTGTGTCCAGTGGTTTCTCCAACAATATTTAGAGTGTATTTTAATTAATTTTCCTCTGCTTTATCTATTTTTTATTGGCTTTTTCTCTTATGTGCTCGCCTTGCAGTCGGTTTCCACCCTTCAAGTGGTTCACCTGCTGTTGCAAGTCATATCGCAACAACTCGCAGCAGAATCGCTGCCACACAGTGGGGCGTCGGATGCACAACAGCTGCGACTCGATGAGAACGCTGACCACTTCTCTAACGGTGTCGCGGCGCTCCACGAACAAAACGAATGCGCGGGTGGTAATATGCGAGCGTCCCAGCAAGATTATTACCGTGCCGGCCATGTCGGAGGTATGATAGCTGGCGCACACGACCCGCAAGCGTTCAACGTTTGCGGTTCACGGGCCCACATCCTTCAGCGATGCGGAGTTTCTCTAGAATGGGCAAAGGATACTTCAATATGAATGCGACTGCACGAGAGGCTTAGACAATAAGTTCGATAGTTGTACTAGGCATAGTGAAAGCCAAATCCAAACTGTACGTATAAGTATGCCAAGTCTACGCTACGAATTTCAAACACTTAATCTTACTCTACTATAATATGCTCTCAATCTAATAATAGGTATTTATGCATTATCTAGTACTTACTTTACTTGCATTTTGTATGAATTTTAATTAACGCTAAGCAAAAGCTGAAATTGAGAAGGATATATGTATGAGTCTCTGGGTATCTCTGAGCAATTAAGCTGAAATTAACTTTAAAATTAATTTTTATTTTTGCAAGTATTCTCTAGAATGTTCATTTAACTCACTTTCAGACAGTTAAAGTTCGTGGGATTGCCAAAACTACTCATTTTCGAATTTCGATATTTCAGAAATAATACTTACAATTTTGAGTGAAATTAAGAACTACTTGTATATCCCCAAGCTCATTTCATGCACACTCCAATTTGTATTCTATTGAACGGACTCATATTATTTGTGTGGACAAGAAACTCTCATGATTACATCTTTTTTTGCAGGCCTAAGTAGCGATTAAGGCTATTTAAATTCCATCTCATCTCCTGTACATATAGTACATAATTCTACGTATACAAGAAGCATGTGCAAGCATCTGAAACCAAATTCTATTAGTTATAAGTAGACCATAAGAGTTAATAGAGCATAAAGTTGTAGTCAATTTGGTTTAAGCTAATATTTATATCATAATAATGTGTAGAAAGCTGAATAAAGGCCACAAATTCTCAGAGTGTCACAATGTGTCCCTTTCTCGCGTTTTCATTCATTTTGGCACGCTCTGGAAAATCTACTTCGGTGCGCCCCAGCACACAATGGGCACAAGGACGACAAGGATGATGGGTTCCTGGGGCCTGGGGCTCATTTTTGCTCTCACTTCATTTATAATTGTTGCGATGATGGGGAAATTTGTCTGTGGCCACGGCTGACGTCACCAGAGAAAGTCAACAGAGCAAACAAATTGAACGACAAACCCAACAGACAATAAAAACATATTGGTTTCTGCGGGCCCAGCACACAGCCAGAGGATCTCTCATTTATTGTTACAGTATCAATAAATGGCAAATATTACGAGTGCTATGCAAAGTTCCAACAGAGAATCAGGCAAATACATGTTTAAATGCTGTGCAACGTTGTATCCTGTTTTATATCCTGTTTATATTTGCTTTATGGTTGGTTAAGTCCATTTCATTTCACCCTCTTTAAATTTACTCTCTCCTTTTCCTGATATTTAATGGCAGTGGCAGTTGATGGAAACACTCTAGCCACCCGATGGTGGGAAACAAATTGATAAAGACAAAAGTGCATTACAAGATTTGTCTGGGGCACGCGCTTCATTGGACATGGCGAGCGAAGAAAATTCCATTAAGGAGCTCACTGAGCGCTGCCGTTGACTGTCGAGCAGTTTTGCAATTATAATTTTCTATAATTTATTTGTCAACTTCTAATTGAAATGTTCCACAACGAACAGGAAATGGAGAAGAGCGAGAAGAGAGCATTAGAAGCATTGACATTTCATCTTTTAATTATATAATTACTGAAAATGGCCAACAGAAATTAAATATACGAAATAAATAGCTACTATCAGAAATGCTGCACAAAGGGCTTAAGATTTTAGGCTTGTATATCCTCTCGAAGTATGCTTTTATGGATCTGGCATAGCTGACGTTTGTATGAACCAATAAACCCCTTAAAGCTACCACTCAGAGCCAACTCTGACCAACCCGTCTCAACCAAATCCAACTGGAACGATCATTCAACTTATTTTGGCGTTACCTTTCAAAAATAAAGTAAACTAATAATTTCCAAATTAAAAAAAATTGTAATGAAAAAAAATCGATGAAAGTGACAACTGCATACAGATATACTACTAATATTTTAAATTTTTGTCAAAGAAGTCATGTTTCCAAATTACTGCTTTACCAAATCAACCAAACAGCAAGGTTTTGACATTCAGCGGCGACCGTACATGCCCAGAGACGGCTACCCACGCAGTGGCCGGCCCTCGGAGCGATCGGCAGCATTTAGCAGAAGTGGAACACCTCGCCAGGGAATGCGCTACGCGGACGTCTCTGGGCCGGGACCGGGATATCAGGGAAGCGTCAACAGCAAGCGTCCCAAGCGAAAGCTGCCAATGTCGAGCAGCATCAAAAATATGGCATATAAACCTCCATCAGCCCTCAAGCCGACTTCGTCCAGACGAAACGTGGCCTTTCAATTGCCCGCAGTGGTGTGCGTCAGCAAAGAGTCCGTGGGGCACACTAAAAAGCATGCACGCGTACCGGCAGGCGAGGACATGGTTAGGGACCGACATTGCAAGCGACAAGCAAATGTACAAGTCGACGATCCGAATCAAGAGCTGCAGGAATCCTTCGCCGACTTCTTTAGCATCATTCACGACAATGTCCTGGAGACGGTGCAGGGAGCCGTGCAGAGTATGGTGACCAAGTGCTTTGAGGAGTCCATAGCAAAGATGGAGCTACTGTCGTCGGAGATGCTGCGCCAGGAGAAGATGCTACACAAAATGTTTCGCGACATCAACGCCAGTAAGTGTTTTTGTTTGACTCTCAATAAAATACGCAAAACTCTTCACTCTGGCCCCGCAGAAATCGACGATCAGAACGAGACGAACCTGAACCAGTTCAAGTTCGTCACACAAATGCTAATCGACAACCAAACGGTGCACTATCGTGCCCTCAACCAAGCCAAAATGGACAAACGGCGCCACCAAGCCGAACGAGATAGTGAGAAGGAGCGGGGACGAGAACGGAAGAAGAAACGGTCCACCTGTGGAAGTGAGGAGAATGATCCCAATATGAGAGGGCCACAGCATCAGTTGTGGCAGCAACAAAACCGTCACATATACCACACCGAAATGTGCAAGCCCTACACGCAGGACGAATGCAAGACATGTCGACCTGCACCACCGTCTAGGCCACCCTCTAGGCAACAGTCCGTGCCACGCCTGCAAAATAAAATGCCCGCCGCCAGCATGCCTGATCTGTCGAAGCGAGCCGTATCCAATAACGGCATTAACCGTGCCATGCAGCCCGAAGTGCAGTCATTAAAGGCAAGGCCCAACCGGCAGTCCAGCAGGCAACGTGCTCCCTGCCCAGTCCTTGCCTATCCGCCAACCTTACGCAGCGACTCAACCACACGTCGATGCGTCAAGAGTGGCTCCAGCGTAGAGCATTTGGAATAACATAAAGTATTTTGTCCATATCTAAGTTCACAGATCTGCCATGGCAGCCAGTTGTATAGCATGAGAAGGGATCAGAAATGGCACCATATCCTTCTTTTGCCATACAACTGTCTGTCATAGTTTGTATTCAAATCATCGTACAATTATAAAGATATTTTAATAAAGAGAATGGAAAGATGGAAAATTTCTCTGGAGAAGTAAAAACTATTTCGATTGCACCTATCAGCAATTAATTTGTAGGCAAATTTCTAGACTTTGTGGTGTACATTAGGAAACATTCATTGGCTTCTTCAGCTCCACACTCTCATAATAATTATTCTTTCGCAAATAACGTTGAACAAATGAAGCAAGAAGTTGCTCATCTACATCCTTGATATTCTGACGACCAAATATGCATGTGGCCAGGTTCGAGATAATTATTGTGAGCAGGGCACCCAACATGGCATATAACAGGAAGGAAACGTGATACACAGAGGATCCACTGTGATGCTCCCTGAATAAGATATAATAATTGAAATCATTATACAAAACTTATGGTCCATAGACGAATGAAGGCTTACTGTTCCAATGTTGAGTTGAGATAGCGATTCATATCAAACTCATAGTCGCAGTTCTCAACGGAGACTGGCAATTTTGTGTGCCTGAAGGTGCCAGTGACATTGGCAACTTGCGCATTGACTGCTATCCAGGCCATGGTTAAAAAGGCACAAACGCTGCCCACAAAGATGCTCTACAAAAAAGTAACCAGGAAATCATTATGAAACAAATTAAATTTGCAACTGTTTCAATTACCTTTTCGCCCACCCAAGGCATTAGCATCCCAACGGTGAAGACGCCCAACATGGGCCCGTACAAGCTCGACTGGAGTGTCGCGGATAACTGCAGCACCATGCCCAGTTTCTCCACCACATAGACCATAAAAATAGAGCTAATGCCAAAGAGGATTACCACCAAACGCATGGTCAGTGCCACATGACTCTCCTTCATGGATTTTCCCATTTTCGGCCGCACAAAGTCCTCCAATATCACGGCAGCCAAAGAGTTGAGCAGCGTGGAGAGTGAACTTAAAGCTGCGCTAAACACAGCCGAAACGAAGAGTCCCGGCAGGCCTGGTAAAACACCCAGGACGCGCATCACCAGCAACGGGACCAGCTGATCCCGACGTCCAGCCAACTAAATAAAATATAAGTTTTACTAGCATCAAATTCACAGGCCAACTGATGACTTTCTTTTGCTTGCAATTTAATGAGTAAAACTTACACCTGTCGACATGGGATCGCAGTCGTAGTAGGTGGCATAGCACACCAAACCAATGTAGATGCAGCCACAATAGAGCAGAATCAGACCAATGGTAAAGGTGTAAAGGGTTTGTTTGATGTGCCTGAGCGATGGCAACGACATGAAGCGCTGCACAGTGGCCTGATTGATGGAAGTGCTCTGCAGCTTGAAGAATGCGCCGCCCACAAACACAGAGAACACACTCAGCCGTACGGTGGGATCCATAGTCCAACTGCGATACAAAAATAATAGCGTTGAATGGGAATGTATTCCTGGCCTGATATAGGGATCAGCTTACTCAGGCGTGTTGAGACGTCCACCGTCCTGATTACGCTGCCAGACAACACCGAATCCGCCCAAATCCAAAGTTCCCTTGATCATGATAACAATCAGGGAGCCAAACATGATGACGCTCTGTACCACATCGGTGTAGACAACGCCCCTGAGGCCACCCACACAGGTGTAGAAGGTGCAAATGATGATCACAATGGGTGTGATGGTGTGTATCCCAATTCCAGTCACCTGATTGAAGGTAAGCGCCGGAACATAGACCGCTATGGGTAGCCACACAATCTGAAGAGTTGGATAATCATTTAATAGATATTCAATTGCGGACCCTTTGCTGATCATCTTACCGCTTTTAGGACAAACAGGGACGCTCCAAATAAACGCATTCGCCTGCTAAAACGTCTCTCAAAGTACTGAAAGAATGAGTGTGTATAAGTATTGGTTCGCCAGGTCTAAATAATCTCTGATTATAGCAAGGGGTTATATCCAGTAGAAAGTTGACTTTGCAGGTTAGCTAAAAAAAGTCAAGCCTCAGCATTCGATTAGGTACAAAAACAAATCTTAAATCTAAGAAAAACTACTGGAACTGCATTGGTGGATAGGATATAAATTTATTATTGAGTATGTTAAAAACGCATGACTATTGCTAGGATTTGTCAGCCAGCTCCAGCTTTGGTTGTGTCACTGATTCGTGGAGCGCCGGATCCGTTTTCTCATCACAGGCCACACTCTCGTATTTGCCGTACCAATAGTTGCGCAGGACAGGGCTAACCAGTTCCTTGTCCACCAGACGAGGATCCTGGCGCCCAAAGTACAGGGTGGCCAACAGCGATCCGACTAAGGTACCCACAGAGCCAACTGTAGTGTACCACAAAAATGATATCTCATGCAGGCTAAAGCTCTTGGCTTCAGCTGGGGTTCTGTAATGGACAGAGGGAACATTAAAATAAATTCCTGCCTGGCTTCACCCACTCGGAACAATTACATACGCCGGTGTGGTGACATTCCAGTTGTCAGGCAGATCGAACAGATAGTCGCAATCCTCCACAGAGACAGGTTTCGTGGGCCATGTCATTTGGCCAGTAAATATGGCAATCTGAGCTCTAACCACAATATAAGCTGTGAAGGCGGAGGCACACGAGATGCCAGTGAGGAGACTCTTCAATGGGGAGGGAAAACTGTCAAATAATGCAGAGCTAAAGCACAGATGGGTAAATCAAACCTCAGTTTTAACAAAAGGCAGCAGCATTCCCACACTGAAGGCGCCCAGGAGGGGACCGCAAGTGATGGCAGCCACTGTCGAGGACAACTGCATGACTAGGCCAAGTTTCTCCACAATCGGAACACTGGCCATTGAGAGTAGACCAAAGACCACAACCACGCCTCTCAGCACGAAGGCGGTTTGACGCTCGGTCAGGGGTTTCTTGCGGAACGGTTCTATGAAGTCTGTCAGGATCACACCCGACAGCGAGTTGAGCGCCGTGGAAAGGGAACTAAGTGCAGCACTAAACACTCCAGCCACGAACAGACCCACCAGACCGGGAACAGTTCCAGCACTTTTCATCACATATAGAGGTATAACCTGATCCTTGGCACGGGCCAACTGTAAGATAAGTAAGATAGCATAATTTATTGTATGTGCTCGCAAAAATCTCTACTTACACCAGTCGTTATGGGATCGCAGTGATAGAATTCAGCAAATGCCAGCATTCCAATGTACACGCACATCAGTAGGACAATCATGAAGCCGGTTAGGGATAATACAATTGCCTGTTTAACCGCTCTGAAGTTTGGCAGGGTCAGATATCTTTGTACAATGGCCTGGTTGATGCCATTTGCTTGGAGCTTGAAGAAGGCCCCACCGATAAACAAAGCAAAGACACCCATTCGCACCGTTGGATCTAAGGTCATGCTGAAAGAGATTTACTCATAAAACATTGCAGATTAGGTGGCACGCCAAAAGTTAAACTTACTCAGGACCCACCAGACGCTCGAACTGACGATTCCTGTCGAGCACAACATTTAAGCCACCCATGTCCAAGGTGCCCTTGATGATGACAAAAGCCATGGAGCCAATCATCACAAAGCCCTGAATGACATCTGTCCAAACAACGCCCTTTATGCCACCCTGAAAACCCATAATCATTGGCGAAACTTATATGGGAGCGAGGTGTTTGGGTACTTACCACACTGGTATATAAAATGCACACCATACTGGTCACGGGCACTATTTTGGACACACTTATGCCAGAAACTATGGAGTGAAAAGGGGACAATATGCTCGTATGCGTATAAGTAAGACAGGATCAATCCATTTAACCCACCTTGGTTCAAAGTCAGGGCAGGTACATATATGCAAATGGGCTGCCAAAGTATCTGAGATTGATTCAATTGATTAGTTATGGGGCGTATAATCACGACAGAACTTCTACTCACATTCATCACCACAAAAAGACATGATCCAAAGATGCGGATGCGCCTGTCGAAACGCCGCTCGAAGTACTACAAAGAAATAAATCAAGCAGAAGGAAGAACATAGATTATATCGATGAATGCGTATTTACAGGATGAATTGATCAAATGAAAAGTGCACGAATGGATACAACAAATTAAAATAAAAGTCGTTTAGCCAGAGCGCAATAATAAATCTTTATTGGTTCAATTTAAGGATCGTTTTCAGTCTCAGCATCACAATCCTTGCGCTTAAACAGATCCTGCATAAGTACGGCTTGGTAGTTTTTGTTGGGCAGGAATCGACGCATGCACGGCGTGATCAGGGCGGGATCCATTTGAGACAAGTCCTCCCAGCCGAAAAAAAGGCTAGCCAGCAGCGAAACAACTGTGCAAATGACGCCGCCCAAAGCAGTGTACCAGAGGAACGATAAATGGTAGAGATTACGCTCCGAGGGACTAGAGGAGATATAGAAATATTCGATGACAAATGTGAACCCATGGAGATTCTATACTTACGTGTAATCGTGGATGGTCTGAAAGACGGTGGTATTGTCGAAGGTGTAGTCACAGCCCTCGACCGAAACGGGCATCTTGGGATGACGAATCTGCCCATTCATTTGGCCCAGCTGTGCATGGACACATATCCAGGCTAGGGCCAGGAAAGACACCAGGCTACCCACCATGACACTCTGGCAAACAAAACATCAAAATAAAGTAACAATTAAATTATATTCCAGGGCATAACTTACCTTTCCTTTGACCCATGGCAGACACACGCCCATGCCGTAAATGCCCAAAAGTGGACCCATTGACACGGCCGCTGTGGTTGTGGCTAGTGGAACCACATTGCCCAGTTTTTCCACGATGTGGACCATCCCAATGCACGAGAAGCCAAAGCCAACGACTATCGCACGCAGCCAAAACGCAGTCTGACGCTCCGTCAGGGGTCTCTTCAGCAAGGGTTGCACAATATCCTATGTGAGCACACACGCCAAGGAATTGAGACCCGTGGAAAGGGAACTAAGTGCGGCACTGAAGACACCGGCCACAAAAAGTCCGGGCAGACCTGGCAACGATCCCAGAGTGCGCATCATCAGCAGTGCAGGGAGCTGATCACTAGCTTTGGCCAGCTGATTAAATGGAAACAAAAAAAAAATACAACAATTAATAT